GCCGGCGCCCCCGCGCCAGTCCCGGGACCCCGAGCCTGTCCCGTCCCGGTCCCCCGCGGGGCCAGCCGGCCCACGGCCGCTTACCTTGGCCTGGCATTTCCGATGACAGGAGAAGCTGCAGACTGCAAGAGGGCGAGACACAGAAAGAAAGTTTAGCCGCGAGGTATGAAATGGAAACTCCGGCGAAATCTCCTCCCACCCCGCCCAAAATTCGTGCTCTGGAGGGAAGGAGGGGGGAGGAGAAACGGGGAGAGGGAGGGGGCGGAGGGGGGTGGCTGCCGCTGTTCCCCGAGGCCTGCGGGGCGGGAGCGCCCGGGACTGCCAGAGCCCCCACGGGCGCGGGAAGGTGGGAGGGGCAGGGGGAGGGGAGGGGACCGACTCCCCCGCTGGATCCTTGCCAGGGGCAGAGGTGGCCGGACCCAGGCCCCATGCCAGCCGCGCCAAGGAGTAAGGAGCGGGGGCGGGGGGGGCCTTCTCCCCTTACACACACACCAGGCAGCCCGCCAGCGCCCTGAACCACGATCGCACTCCCCACACAGACCCAATTCATGATCCCGGAGAGGACCCATGCGCGCGGGGAGGGGGGCGCGCGCGCCTCACACACAGGCACTCTGACGCCCAAGGAGAAGCCTCCGACTCGCAGGCACCCAAAACCCAGACAATTTCACGTGAGACCCTCAGAGTGACACCGGTGTGGACCCAGGTTGACAAATGCACGTATTCTCAAACTTTATGTACATGATCTCTCTCTCTCTCTCTCTCTCTCACACACACACACACACACACACACGCAGGACTTGCTGGGCCCTCCCACTGGAATCCAATTTCCTATGGAGTTCCCTGGCCTGGAATGTCCCAGCCCTACTGCCCCCCACCCCCACCCAGGGCCCTCAGGTGCAGACCCCTGGTACTGAGATCCCCCCACCCCCACCCCAGGGCTTGGTGGTCCCTCCCCAGGTTCCTCCTAAGGAAGGGGGTTTGGGGCTCATCTGCTGCCTTGCTGGCTGCCCAGAGCAAGGGGAGTAGGGAGGCAGGGGAGCCACTCTGGCCCCAAATACTGGACTGCCACAGCCAGCCCCCCCACCTCTTGGGTCTTGAATTCCCCCTCGCCAGCCTGAGGACTCCTTGTTCTCAGCAGAACTCAGAAGAGGAGACTGAGGCATAGATGAAGGCCAAGTGCCAAGCAGGCTCAGTCTTCTGGTTTGTCTGGGGGAGGGGAGCAAGGGCAGGGTGGAGTCTGGGATGTGACCTTGACCTTTGCCCCTAGCCATACCCACCTTCTTTTCTCCCCAAGGAATGTGTAATTGAGAAAGCTTCAGGCCATGTGGCCTGAGACTGGAAGGCCTTCCCACCAGGAGTCCCTCCCAGGCCAAGAGCCCTAACCCCTTCCTCTGCCCTTTAATCGATCCTGCCCTTTCCGAAGTCCTGCCCCATCCTCCACCTGGGTAGGCCCCTCTCTGTCTCCTGCCTTCCCGCAGGTACCCCCATGGAGCACACTTCTCAGCATAACCTCAGATCCTATAGCTGTGGGATCCTACAAGAAAGAAACCTCTCCTCTCTCTCTCTCTCTCTCTCTCTCTCTCTCTCTCTCTCTCTCTCTCTCTCTCTCTCCCACACACACACACACACACACACACACACACACTCACACAGTATAAAATGCTTGGTATGCAGTAGAGGCTTAACAAATATTTGTTGGTTTGAACCTGCCTGAAGAGTTCTGTGCACCCCCATTTAATCATCCCTACTCTCAACCACCCAAATCTCATATTCAATCAAGAAGACATCCCTAAGTAGCCACTCTGGTTCCCCCAGCCCAATCCAGGCACCAGATGTGTATGAGGGCCAGGATTCTGTCTGCCTCCAGCACATACTCCAGACTTCTAACAATTCCCACAATTCATGGCGCTCTTTCCTACCTCAGGGCCTTTGCACTTGCTGTTTCAGCTGTCTGAATTGCTCTCCTTCACCCACAGCTCTTCACTATTCACCAAGATAGATTGTTCTATTTCTGGAATCCACTCAAAGCTATCTACTCAACGAGGCCTTCCCTGACCACCCAAATTAAAGTTATTTTTTCTCAGCAGCACCCTGATAATTCCCTTCTTAGCACTTCTTACAATGTGAGGTCATTTTAGGTAATTCCTGCTAGTTTGCATATAGCATATCTCCCCACACTGGACTCAACAGGGCAGAGGGCAAGCCTGTACACATTACACCAGAGCCCAGCAGCTAAAACAAGTGTCTCCTTCAGGCCCACAGCCAATCACAGAATCTTTGTGCTAACTCAAAAAACTCCTACCCTCTAGGCAAACCAGCCCATGGGCACACAGCTTAGTAAAGAGTCTGTGGGAAGGTGCCCTTGCTCCGGGACCCAGCCCAGCACCTGGGTGCATTGGTTGGTACAGAAAGCATGAGCTGATTCCAGTTCTCTCCCAGGCAGACACCCTTGGCAGTGAACAGCCCACATGACCATACAGGGCAACCTGGCTTGTCACACAGTGGGCAGACACTCAACAAATGCCCTTGAATGGAGGGCAGATGGAAATATCACTGGGCACTGGATTGCAGTATGCTGTGTCGTGTCCAGAGCTCCCTTCCTGCAGGAATGCAGAGAGCTTGTCCTTGACAGCGCTACAGAGGGGAGCAAAGGAAGACCTCCCAGCCCCCAACCCAGAAGAAAAAAGCTCGCAAGCTGAACTCAAGTGGCAGAGTCTTACACCTTGAGGGTTAAGCAGATCCTGGGAGGCCCCTGGGCCAGTCTGGAGTCCTGACAGGGAAAGGTACTGGACCTTCTTAGTCACTTTGTCGGTCTTCTCCCATGGGGCAGTGTTACCTGCTCTGTCACTGGAGAGAGGAGGTACCAGGGAGGGCCCCTGTGTCTCTCACCTCCTGGTGCTCATGCTTGTAATCCCATCCCGCCACACCTAGGGCTGGCATGTGTACCTGGCGGGATATTATAGAAATGATGGTGTGTGGCTTGAGGCTGACACCAGGGGCCCATTGGCAACAGCCTGCGCCCCTTAGATCACTGGCTCCACAGGGTGAGGTCACTCAGCGCTGTGGAGAGGCCATGTGGTGAGCAGCTGAAGCCTCTTGTCACCAGGCAGAGCCAACTTGGCTGGCATATGAGCAGGCCACCTTGGAAGTGGACCCTCCTCGCCCCACCTCTGTGAAGCCACAGACCACAGCCACCACAGCTGACAGCTCCCCTGCAATGTGCCCGGAAGTCCAGGGACCAGCTCAGTCAGTTCTGAATCCCTGACCCACAGAGACGAGGAGAGTTACAATTTTGTATTTGTTTTAAATGCTTGGTTTGGGGGTCACTGGCTATGCAGCTAGAGATAACTGGGAAACCAAAGCAAGGGGCCAAAGCTGATCTAGGAACCAAGACCACAGGCCTCCTCCTGGGTCCCTCCTGCTCCCTGCAGCCCGCCCCTCGCTGGACCTCCCCCTTCCCCGCCCTCACCCTGCCAAGCAACTAGTTGTCATCTTCATAGAAAGTAACTCCGAGAAGACGGTCCATGCCAGCACCCTTCCCCGCTACACCATTCCAGGCCAGTCGTCCTTCCTGGGACCAGTCTGCCCCCAACCCATTCCGCTCCCGCCCGCAGGGCCGCATGCCATTCTCAAGTGCAGCGTGGCCACGTCACACTCTGCTCAGAAGGTTCTGTCCAGCTCCTCAGCACATCTTAGGAGCCTCCTGCCCAGCCTGGTGTTGCCTCCGCTTCCAGCTGCTGCCCCCAGAGGGATCGGCAAATGTCACATCAAACTCCCCAAAGGGTCTTTGAGCCTTGAAGAAGCAGGGCCAGAGCGGTGGACTCTACATTCTTCAAGGCCCAATGTCCTTCCCTGGATAATCAGGCTTTGAAATCTTCCTCCTCTGTACTCCCAGCATCCTCACATCCCTTGAAAAAACTTATCACTTGGAGATCCCTTTTGATTTGCTCTCCCCTCCCCCCCCCATACAACCTCTTCTCTAAGGCAAAGGTGGGGGGGGAAGGGGGGCCCCCTTGAAACTGGCAGCTTTCCACCCAGCCCCTTCCCCTAGCACAGGACCTGCCATCTGGAGGGGGCACAGTGAATGGGGAGTAAATTTCAAACTGGAAGGATAGTCGCCAGCCAAACCCCCAAGATGGGGCCAGTACTGGGGGAGCAGACACGCGTGCAGGTAAGCAGGCTCTATCCTCCACCCTGCAGGAAGAGGGCTGGGAGAGAGCCTGGGAGTACCTCCTGACCCCTGCCACCTCAGAGCAGACTCCATCCCTGAGCAGCCTGGGAAGCGACTGCAGAGGTGAGGTCACTGGGAGGAGAGGCTGGGGAGGGAACATACTGACGCTTCTCTCCCATCTGTCTACCTACTTCCCTGCCTGCTGCAAGGAGAATAGCTGACAGTTCAGAGGCGGGTCACACTAGCCGTGTGCTCTGGAGCAGGTTACTTAACCAACTCATCTGTAAAATGGGAATAATAACAGCACTGACCTCACAGGATAGCTGTGAGCATTGAATGAGTGGGTCTGAGCTTGGCACAGAGCATGCCCTCTGCAAGGGTCAGCTGCCATCACAGCATCTTCACCCTCTGTGTCACTGTGGTTCTTATACAGAACTCCCATCTCCTTGTCAGGAGAACCTGGATTCCAGGCCTCTCTGTTGTCATAGTGCTCTGTGACCAAGTCACTCCCCATCTCTGGGCCTCTGACTCCTGCTTGCAAAATAAGGCATCAGTTAGCAGACTGCAGGGGAGAAGGAGCTGTGCTCTTGACTGTACCTGCTTCGCTGTCTACAATGCAGAGACTTCCTCTCCTAGCTGGAATGCAGAGCAGGTCTCTTCAGCTCACTGGGGTCCACCACACCTGCTCGCTTGTCTGCATCATCCCTGAATGCCCTGGCATTTCCAGTGGCTGGAACAGATGGTCTGCAGGCTGCCTTCCAGCTTTGAAAGCCTATTCTCGCCATCACCTCCCGTGTCTCCCTCTAACCCAGAAAGTGGGTAACCCAGGTTCGAATCCTGAATATGTCTCTAACACTTCTGCCGAGAAACCCCTGGCCTGGGGCTGACAGGGCACCATCCACAGGTGCCATTTGTCACCTGAGCAAGACAAGAGCACGAAAACCCCACCTC